CAACTTTTGGTACTCTCCACCAAATTGCGCGTAGATTTCACCTCGCTTCACCAAATCGCGCGAGATTTTCACGGCGCTCCACCAAATCGCGCGAACTCTTCAACGCGCCTACCAAATCGCGCTCGCTATCGAACGGATAAATAAAAAAAATTATTTCTCCACGCCATGCCAACGATTAACGCAAGACTACAGCATAGATCTACTCTCAATACGATCCGGTACCCCTTTCGACTTGGCTCCCACATCGTCTCGAGAGTGGGGGGCTTGCGAGACAACTTCCACAAGGAGCCAACTCGCTCAGTACTACCAACTGCAGCGAGACAACTCCCACGAGGAGCCAACTCCCTCGGGTCTACGAAACCATAGCGAGTTAACTCCCACGAGGAGAATACTCGCTCTGTCCTATAACCCGTCGCGAGGCAACTCCCACGAGTAGCCAACTCCCTCGGGTCTCAACGCCATAGCGAGATAACTCCCACGAGGAGCAAACTCGCTCGGCCCTACACACTCGTTGCGAGACAACTCCCACGAGGAGATAACTCGCTCCGTCCTACAACCCGCAGCGAGACAACTCCCACAAGGAGCCAACTCCCTCGGGTCTACGAAATTATAGCGAGATAACTCCCACGAGGAGACCACTCGCTCCGTCCTCTAACCCGTTGCGAGATAACTCCCACGAGGAGACAGCTCGCTCTATCCTACAACACACAGCGAGACAACTCCCACGAGGAGACACCTCGCTCTGTCCTACAACACACAGCGAGATAACTCCCACGAGGAGACAACTCGCTCTGTCCTACAACCCCTTACAAGGAAACTCCTACGAGAAGCCAACCCCCTCGGGTCTAAAACCACAGCGAGATAACTCCCATGAGAATGCCACTCGCTCCATCCTATGCCCCGCAGCGAGATTGCTCCCACGAGGAGCCAACTCGCTCGGTACTACAACCGGCAACAAGACAACTCCCACGAGGAGATAACTTGCTCAGTCATATAACCCATTGCGAGGCAACTCCCACGAGGAGTCAACTCCCTCGGATCTACGAACCCACAGCGAGATAACTCCTACGAGGAAACCACTCGCTCCATCCTATGACCCGCAGCGAGATTACTCCCACGAGGAGCCAACTCGCTCGGTACCCCAACCCGCAGCGGGACAACTCCCACGAGGAGCTAACTCGCTCGATGCTACAAATCCGTTGCAAGGCAACTCCCACGTGCAACCACCTCGCTCGATAATAAGACTCGCTGCGAAACAACTCCCACGAGGAGACAACTCGCTCAGAGCAACCTCAATCCACACGCGCCTAAATCGCGCATCATCCAATGCTCCTACATCTTCGCTGCAAGACAACTCTCTTGAAGAGACAACTCGCT